AAAAAAAACCAAACAAAACAAAACCAAGCCACACACACACACACACACACACAAATCCTCTTCCAAGAGCCTTTGCGATGCCAACCATTGGGTTCAGGCAAACCTCCTGCCGAAGTGTCTTTGCTCAGTCACTCTCTGAGAGCGGTGGTGTCCCCTGGAAATCTTTGAGGTGTAAGTCAGAGTTGGGGTGCAGGGTGGGGAAGGAGAACGGGAGGTCAGAGATAGTCGTCTTCGCTGGAGGGGGAGGTGGGATTTGAGCCCTCAAGGTCAGAGTCCAGCGAACTCCCTGATGGTGTTCGGCTCATCTTCCACATCTGGGAGGCAAAGGTGCTCCCCCAGCTGCACGGGTATCCCACAGGCTTCAGCTGGTGAATTAGCCCCATGGCCACCTGCCAGTGGCTTCTTGCAGTTCACTTGCTACCCTTTGCACTCCTCTGTTTGCTCATGGCTGTAAGCATCTGGCTGATGTATGAGGTCAAAAGATCATCCATCTTGTATCCCTGAGGAGGAAAGAAGAAGATATTACCTGCCTTCAGAGCACAGTTTAGTCTCTGGCTTGTGCCCCCTGAGCACACTGGCTACCAGTTCTTGACTTTCAAGATCTCAGGTACATTTTGACCTGTTCCTTCATTCTCCTTGGATGAAAAGACACCACCACAAGGAACACAGGCCAAACATAATTTGCAGTGTTGAGATGGAGAAACTCATGGTCCCAGGATACTGTTGAGGCTAAGGACATAAGGAGCTTTGGAAGGGGACCTGGATTTTCAAATGGCCAACAAAATACTGCATGCCACAGATTAATAACAACTAAGTCAGCATGATTTTTTATCCTTCATGCTTTGGGTTTAAGACAGTCTAGACTGTTGCTCTGACTGTTACTGGAGACAAGCTAGGCAAAGAATTTTGGTAAAAGGGCTCAAGAGCACCCCCTGAACCCACATCTGCTTTAATATGCTTTTCAGTCCAGTGACAGGCAGCAGTGCACCTCAGGCTTGCTCATAAGTTGGATAATGGACCAAGTGAGAGCCCTGATCCATTGCACAGAGCCATGAGAGATCCAGAAGAAAAAAAACATCCTGGGGGCTCTTCTAAGAGACCATTTTCAGCCCAGAGAATCTCCGAGACACAATTTTCTGGAAGCATTAAATTTTGCCTGCCAAAGTCAGGATTTGGTCTAAATGTGCCCAATAATCTTTAACGCTCCTTACCAGGGAGGTCTCACAGAGCAACTTGCTTCCTCTCACCAGGTTGCCAATGGTAATATGGAAGTACGTGTTGCCGCTGCTCCAGTTGGAGATCTTGGTGAAGGGGTGAGTGATGAGAATATCCTGGTGGGAACACAAGACTGGCACTCAACACACAAGAGTCTCAACTTTCACGATGGGGGGTGAGGAAGCCTCATGTCCTTATTCACTTTCCATCAAAGCAGACCAAGGATGTCTACTGAGATAAGACTGTATCATGGCCTCATGGGAACGGCGGTGAGAGGCAAGACTCTGGATCCTCCAGTGCTTGTGGAGGACTTCTGTTCCAGAATAACCATGTGGCTGGTGGAAGTAACTAGTGGGAACTCATTTATTCCAGCTCCTGTCCTAGTGTCTGTGAAAGGATTAAGGAAGGAGTGTGTGTATCCTTCAGCTACGGGGCCCCAACCGCTGATGCTCCAAATCCATCTCCTTGAAAAAGGTTGGGCTGGCTCTGTACATCAGTGAGTTTCTGCCTCCAGAAGCTTTTCTGGCTGTCCAGCCTTTCTAATTAGGCTTTATGAGAACTCCTGACACATGCTTTTTTGGGATGACCTCTGTGAAAGGTTGGGGAGTGGGATCAGGAGCATCTAGTGAAGACCTTAGTTTTGCTTACCTTGGTTTTGGGATCAATGAGGCTGACTCCATGTTTATTGATGGCAATGAGAAGGATTTCTGGATAATTTGGCTCTGTAGTTTGCTGTTGGAAATAAGAAGAACTGGTTAGGGGAAATGTCTTGCAAAATCAGACCCTTTCCTATTTCCTCTCTCCCTGTCTTCTCCTGCCAGCATTTGGTGGCCCATTAACTGCTATCCAATTTATCTTTTAAAAACAAAGTCCATTAAGGTATCAGCAGTAGTCAGGGCTGTTTAGTTAATTGTGCATCTCCTAGATGCATGATAACCGGTAGGTGAGTTGCTGACAGCATGAAGTTCCTTGCCATTGTCAAGGAAGAGCTGGGACAAGCTGGAAAACCCCAGATGTTGCTTTTCTCCTCCAGTTCAGCTCCTCCTCATGCCTGCTATGGACCTCCAGGCCAAGACTACACTCGTCTTTCTCCTTCTGATCTTTACATTCAGTTTTGTTCCTGCTGGTAAACCCTTCTCCCATCCCTGTGTCACGAGGACCTTCAATTTGTTCCATTGATGAGGTAGGGTACAGGAAAAGGGGGCTCAGCTCCTGTCCCTGCCACAGGTTTCTTAGTTGTCAAGTCACTGGATATAATCAGATCCCTTATGCCACCTAAGATGGACATGACAGAAAATGGAGTGCCCAAATTCAAGGAACTGATAAGTAATTTCAGCAACTAATTTCCAGCCCAGGCTCACTGTGTGGTCATTGAGAAGCGGGAGTTGCAATAAGGTGTCCAGAATACTTGGAGACACTTCACAACTACTGGACTCTATTGTTGTTGATGGAAACCTGGTGCTGTGGTGGGTGCTCTGGATTTTTTTAGAAAACCACACATTCCCCTTTGTCTTGGCAAAAGAGAGAATGGCTCTTGGCTCTTCCACAGCACAGCTACGAGTATAGACCAAATGACTGAGATATGCTCTACAACACCTCTGTCTGTGTGAAGAGGTAGGGCAGCAATAAATTAATATCTTGGCCCTTAACTGGTGGCTGATCAGAGTCTCACACTCTTCCCCTGCTTCATCAGAGCTGTCCCAGTGTAGTCCAGGCACTGGGACAACCCTGCAAATCTGGAACCTCCCTGTGATACGGGGCTCCTGACCTGGGCTCAAAGCTGCCAGAGAGCCCTCAAGAAGGGCAAGTACCTTCACTTCAAAGAATGCTGATCCAAATGTAGGCCACTTGAAGATAATCTTTAGGAAGGCAAGCTTGGCTTCTTCTCTTGTTTTGCCCGCATGCTTATTGTAGTACGCCACAATGGACTGCAACAAAGAACACAACAGAGCTGGAGGGTTTGCACTTACCTGGCAGTGGGGATGTTTGCAGGGAAGGAGCATCAGTCTTACAAAGATGGGAAGTTCTAATTTCTGCTCCAATGAACCCTTCACAAAAGCACTGGCTGGTCACTGGGGCAGGGCCTGGAACTGAGGCAGGTCTTTCTTCCTTAGGTGAGCTGTGCTGGTGACTCCA